GCCTCCGTCACCCCCTGCCCTCTCCATGCCGCGACGCCCCCGTTCTCTTCCTTGTCGCCCCCTATGTCCCCGTTGTCCTCCTGTGTTCCCTGTTACCGTCCTCCCTGCCACAATCCATGTGGCTGCACCCCGCTGGCACTGACTATCCCTGTTCTTCGTAGTGATCTCCAAAGTCGCCAGTCCCTCGCCACATGATTTTGCGGTCCTTACTTCCCGGCCGCCCCTTAACATACTGATTCATTCCTTTGCGCGTGCCATGCAGTTCTAGATCGTCTACTATTGTAACTGTCTGCCGCTATCCCACGATGTCTCTCGCATTCCTTACGGTCCCATCGCCCATAGTCTCTCTGCCGTTCATCACTTCGCAGCCTAGGAGCCGCGCGTGACCCTTTCTGCGCCCTTCCAAGGCCAGCCTCTCCCTAGTCTGCGCCCGATCGTTGCCCGATGTGTCGACCAGAGCGGATAATGAGGTGCACGTTTGTCGCACGCTCCTGGTACTTGGGTGAGACAGCTTCTTTAACGGACTACTCCTCGCTTGTCGGCCGGATATTGTTATACCAGGCGGGACGTCGTGAACACTGGAGTTGAGACACGCTGAACACTGGAGTTGGGACATGCTGAATTCTATGCGGCAACTCTTGTGCAGACTTGAAAGATTCTCATTATTCCTCAAAAATGACTTGAAAGTCATGACAAACAGTTGAACACGTTTGTAATTTTTTGTATTGTTTGGGTTTCTTATGAAGTGTGTAAGTGGCTAAGGATATTACATTACATCACTATGAAGACTCTGTATTTAGTATGTACAGTTACACAGAAGCTTAAGCGGTGACATGAAGTTTGAGAACCAGCTCTTATAAAAATTCAGAAGGTTTAAAGAATAACAAGGAACAGTGAACTTTCAATTTTTTTATCTCGTGTAGGTAGCTTTGTCGGGTCCCATACAATCCACAGCCATTTCTTAACCGAATTAACCATCTCCTTTAAAGTATTTTAACTTCCGTTTAACTTATGTCGCGACTAATATGAATGCCAACTGTGTAATCGCCAACACAACTGCCTTATTATGTTCGGCAAACGATTCATATTCGAAAACTTCCGAGTGGCAACGTATAATTTTCCTTTGCTTGGTATCGCACAGCAGTGACACGAGTTGTTGGGGCAAATCATCTTAAAAAACGGGCGGGGTGCAACTTCGTGTTTATGTCGAACGTGCGCCGCCATCCCTTTCTTCACGAAGAAAATAATACAGAGTGGAAGAGAGAGTGAGTGGGAGAGAGAGAGAAACAATAATCTGCCCGCCGCTTTTCACTGTCCCCGGAGGTGCGACGAGGGGCGGCGCCGCTGTTGCAAACGAAGGCGGCAATTGATCGCTGAGCAAGAAAGTTGAAGAACTGCCTCGCGGAGAAAGTTGAGCGTACCCCTGCTCACATTATACGAGCTTCCTTTCGTGCTTTGTCCCGGCCGCCGACACGGCGACCCCCACCCCGTCTGTCGCGCCCTTCCGCATCGCTCCTTCATCCCCCCCCCTCGCCGGCCCACCGTCTCCACCAAAGCAACTTGTGGGTTGGTGGGAAGCGCGGTCTTGCGAGTGGCAGTGGTGTCTAGGAGAAATTGAGGTAAACAAATGGGGACAGTGAAGGGTCTTTTTGCAGACACTTGTGACATTCAGTAATTTAATCCTTTCTTTACTGGATCCCAGTAATTGTACTATCGAGGAAAAAATGTTCATTATTGTTTCTGTGTTAGTCCAATTATTAAAGTTTTTGGGATTCTTTAAAAAATTACCTCATAGTAGATTAGATCTGTGTTAATAAATTGTCCTCTTCTACCATTGCTCTAGTAACAAACTCAGTGTGTTTCTGTGTACGGGGTCGTCACTCTTGTCATTCAAGGTATCACTTCCCGGTATGTATCACAGCCTCTTAGTCTAACACTTAGTTTGATTTCTTGTACCTTACTTTTCACCCTTCGGCTGTGATAATTCTGTCGCAGCTATCACTTTCTTTACTCTGTATTTTTTAATCTAATTTACATTCTTCAAACTCCGTGTACTCTCCGAACTTCACTCGCAACTTCACATTATTTAGAATTTATTTCATTTTTACTATATTTCTCATTTCTATCCAATAAATACATTGGACCTGGATGTACCGTTCTCTCGAGTTCCAAACATATTTGTCAGCACGCTCTGCTGCTCATGTGCAACGGGCCCTCGATCCCTCAACAACCGACACCCGGTGCACAGCCCCAGGCACGTCCTGTACACCTCCCTTGACCACCCCTCTGCGCTCCCTGCGCGCCTGGGGCGTATCTCCTGCGTGCCCTCCCCCTCCCTCTCCATCGTACGTCCTTCACACGCCCCCGCACGCGCGAATGACGAATCAGCCGTTCGCACCTGCAGCGCCGCGCTCTACCCTCGCTTTTCGCCCCGCACTCCCCGCCCCACCCCGCCGCGCCCCACTTACGGCGTTTCCCATTTCCCGCCTCCCCCGCCGAAGCGGCGCGTGAACCGGCGGCGGAGTTAATGATAATTAAAGAAAACTTGGTCTTTAACGCTATTACATTCCATTCGACGAGGAAAAGGTGTCCGGTGAAAGTACGAAGACTCGCACTTTTCGCTTCGGCGTTAATACACCGGGCGATAAAATACGCGCGCGAAGGCCTGCGGCGCCGTGAGAATGCGCGACTGAGAGTTGCGGGGCGATGGGTGCGACCTCTCCCCACCGCGCAAGGCGACAGCCCGAGCACATCCTGCCGCTTCCCGTGCTCCCAAACCACTCGTCAGACGCACTCTTTGCTCGCGTCCTGCCTCTCTGGTGTATTAGATTGCGATCTCTCCGGGCCTCCAGTCTTCTACGTCCGTCTGTACCTCTCGGCTCCACATTCTCCCCGCTCGCCAAATATCCCTCGTCGGCCGTCGCACCAAAAAAAGAACGGGGCCATCGCCGGCTGCTCCGGAATCTGCCTACTAAGCTTCCTCCTCGCGTGTAAGACATGCGTTCGAGGCAGCGAGCGGCGGAGCGTGACGTCGGCGCGGGGGGGCCCGCACGCGGGCGGGAGGGAGGACGCCCCTGCACGCCCCCGCCGCGAGGAGAGAGAAGCTGGGCGCAATTAACTGGCTTCGTCATGTCCGGGCAGCCGGTGATGCGCCCGCTCGCATCGCGCCCGCCCGCCGTTCCGCGGTAGCTATAGCGCTGTCATTCAGCCTGGCGCGTTGGTGCGGGCGCCGCGCGCTCCAGACCGACCACCGCCAACACGCGCACGCCGGGGAACCGACCGGGAACCCTGATTTTATATTACGTACGGAAATTAGAGAAGTTGGCTCGGGCGGACGCCTGCCCATTCTTACCCCTGCCGCTTCCCACCCTCGCCCGTCCTTCCTGTTCCAGAAGCCGGCACTCCGGCAGACGGCCGCCGTCTTCCACCGGTCCGTATACGGTTAGCGGAGGACAAGAAGGCGGAGCCTGAACGTCGCGCGACGCCCCTGACCTGGAGGACGAGACTTGGCTGCTACGCAGGACGCCGTTTGCCGGCCGGCGCCCGACGCCGACGCCGACTCGGAAGCTGCCGGCTGCGCTAGGCGGTGCGAGCGCCGGCTTGCGGCGTGGTCATCGGGGGCCCGGGAAGCGCGAAGGAAGGCGGCCTGCCGGTTTTACGACGGCCGGGCCGGAGACATCCCCGCGCGCTCGTCACTGGCCCTCGGCTTACCTTCTTCCTCGCCCGCGCCCTCGCTTCCGTCCTCATTCTCCCGCGCGGACCGCTCCGCTCTCCGCTTCTGCTTGCGCGCGGCGCGGGTGGCCGAGGAGCATCCACTCGCACGTTCGTTCGTCGTCGGACCAACTTTTGTCTACGCAAACAAGGCACGTTTGTGAATCCTTCAACGTTGCGTGTTTTCCTGTCCCCAGTACTGTTTTTAGTATTTACCTGTGGAAAGGGACAAAAATGTGCGTTTTTAGTCTGGCGCGAACAACGCTTAATTAAATCATACATGTAATAAAGCGATTTTGAACGCACTGCAAAATGTAATGCAAATGCAACTCTTATTAGCAATAACAGCATGTGCTACTTAACCTCTAATAGGGCGCCAACACGTTTTGAATGGTTCTACAATTAATTTAAACGGAAGAAAAAATATCGGATTTTGTACTGTGAATTTGACGATTTATTGCAATTGACTCATTGTTCATAGCAAAACAATTTTATCATGACAAACTATTCTGATGATTATATGTATGTTTCTGAATTCATGAACATAAATAAAATTTAAAGTTTGTACTAAATAGACTAGAAACAAAAACCTATGTTTTTAGGAACCCAGACATATTCATATCAATTTACGTATTCTTTTACTTCCTCTCACAGCCCCCGTATTTTTCCTGACCCCTTTACCCCTTTGACTCGCGTCTGTTCCTTTCTCTTGACCTCCGGCCCTAGCGTTTGCGTTGATGCGGGCTGCCTGTTCGTGCCTTCACCTGCGCGTTTGCTTTGGGCCGCGTCTCGACTTGGCGACGGGCGCGGAGTGCATATCGAACGAACGCGAAATGAATGTTTCTCTTTGATGTGCCGATAGCGCTGGAATCGATCTTCGTGAGCGCCCGATCGTGTTTGTTAAGGTTCGTGCGCGTGCCCGTGCGTTTGGCGTGTGTGTGCGCGTGTGTGGGTGTGAGCGAGAGTGCTTGTGGCCACGATGGAGGCTCGCCGAATATTGGAAATCCTTCGTCCGACCACACGGGGATTTCATCGTAATAGAGATTCATTAATTGGTCTATCGGGTTAAATCGTCGAAATGTAATAGTGCGTGTTTGCAGGATCGCTTGTCTGGCCATAAGCACGATATGCGTTCGTCTAGTGGAAACGTAGCTACCAGGGAGGGTAAATATGAAACCGCAACAAGTCGTTTCGGACCTCTGCAATTCATAAAAATTGAGAAGGGCGAACTTAGTGAATATTCACGTGCCGTTGTTGAGGAAAATGACACGTTTCCAATAACGTTTATTGACGAAACAATCGAAAGAAAAAAATCGGGGCTTTCAAAACCTTCGTTTCGTTTACAGCCAATATTCATGTGTGTGAAAACTACCGTCCACCCTCTTGTATGCTTTTAAAAGAATCGTCTTTAAAAGAATCGCCATGTCGGACAAGTGTTATATATGTAGAAATAGCTAAACATATTTTGTACGAGTTATAGGAGCGTATTGTTATCTTGATACCACTCAAGTGCTTAGGGTACAAGATAAAGCGTTGTGGAGTATATCTCTGACACCGAGAGGGCGGGCTGTGAGAGCGGCCCGCGTGCTCTGCTTTCCAAGCACTCGCTTCTCTTATTCCGGTCGCGATGAGCGGCGACGCTTCTGTGTGGGGGACGCCTCATGTGTATGTACAAGAAAGCCGAGCACCCTCTGTCTTGTCCCTTGTCTCTTAGAGTTCCCTTCCCAGTCGTGTGTGAAGTTGTCAGCGTCGATAAGATTATCCCCTGATTAGTATAATTACGGAAAGAGGCTGGCGCCGGCGCGGGCGGCGAGGTCCATCGGCGCCGGAGCCGACGCGGTCCCCGGCGGACCACTAACACACTGGCGACGCGGCGCAAGTGGCTTGTCGCACGTCATCTGCTGCGCCATCTTATCTGAACGCGCGTCAGGACGTGCGCGAGACGCGGGACGAGCGTGGAGGCGGTTGACGCTGTCGAGGGGAAGGGAGGAAGGAAGAAGGAAGAAAAGAGCGGTGGCAACGGGGCAGCGGTTGCCACGTCCGATGTCTTTGTGTGTACGAACTCGATACACACTTTCAGAAATTCCCGCATTATGTGAATGAAATGTTCATTAAAGTAATTATCAGGAACGCACATTAAATTTAATGTACACATGTACATGATGATGCAAATGTCAAAGCTGTATGGTGATATCTGAGAGGCAGGCGAAACGGGAGAACTTCTACATCAAATCTACTCTTATTTTAACTTGTGCATTAAATTTAATGTACAAATGTACATCTAGTTGCGTAAACAATACATTAATCTGCACGAAATTTAATGACATATGTGACAACTCATTTTTTATTGTAACTAGTTCCTAGTAATATTTATTTCTTATTGGTATGTAACCTAGGCAACAACGAAATCCTTTTTATACAAAAATTTTGTATAAAAACAGTGCATCTACAGTGCCGTAGATGTGTTTTTGCCATCTGAAAATCATATGATTCTTTATTTAAAACCATTGTTCCCCTATTGCCCAATAATGTGTTTCTGAATTGAATATTTAGCTGGTGGTGTGTTCATTTCTAAATGATCTAAGGAATTGATGTGCTTTTCCCCAAAGTGTCATATCTCCATAAACTGTTTTTGAAGGGAAAGTGTTCACATGCGGCCTAAACGTTCAAGATAGGGTTCAACTGTTTTCTGATGACGTTTAACAAAAGAGAAACGCAATTTTTGAACTTTATATGTGGCAGCCTGGCGGAGAAGCATCTTAATATATTGATACGTAACACTAGGGAAAAAAAGGAAATGGAGACACGTCACTTTGAAAATAATTTCCTCAATTCCCGCCTGGAAACTTGTCTGAATTGGTGATGGGGGAGGAGGGCGCCGCTGTGCTGCCCGTTGGGTTGAGCTGACTGGATTGGGTGGGTTGAGCTGCCTCCTCTGCTAGTGTCTGACGCTCGCTTCGTTGTTGTGTGTCGCAGGTGCACGGTGCGCAGCGCGTGCCAGAAGGCCACCCACAGCTCACCCCGCTGGCTGTCGCTGGGCGGCGGGCAGCAGTGCATCGACTTCGAGCAGGTGCTTCCCGACCGCATCCCCATCTCGCAGATGACGACGGTAAGTGGACCCCGCGCCCGCACCCTCGCCCCCGCCCCCGCCCCCGCCCCCGCTTCCCGGGCCGGCGGGGCGCGCCGGGCGTTCGGCACGTCAACTCGGCCGGCGACAGCCGTCACTGCGCCACCGCAGTGCAAACACCTCGCCGACACATGCGATGGGCGCGCGGGGTGGGGAGATAACTATGCGGGCCGTTGTGCACTTGCAGCTTCGATTGTGCGCTGCATCTGCTCTCGGCACGAACCATTACCTGAAAGTTTGGTTGTGGCACGAGAACACGTGGATTAAAGTCACAAATAAAGTGCAAAGATATTAAATTCACAATAAATATTAAATGCGGTTACTTATTTCTAATATTATAATTAACTAATAGTTTTTCAGACATTTTTGTTTTGTTTTTGATTGTGTAACGAAAATGTTTCAGTGGTTGGACTCGGTGTTTATCGCAGTTTTCATTATACGTATTAGCTATACATATTCACAAAATATTTTTCAATGTATATATGTCAAGAAATTAGGAAAAATACATATTTTCACCTACGTATTTATCCTTTAAAAATATTTGTTTGTATAAACCTTTTGCTCGTGTACATTTTATAATCGCAGTATTTACTATATGCTCGTGTGTTTTTTGGCTGCACCATTTGTAATTATTTATGATACCTATATATTATTTATTTATGGTGTGCGAATGAGTTTGCGGTGAGACGGCTCCGAGACCGCAGTTTCGCACCCAATTCGTCATTATTTGTGATGATGCCAATGACAACAAGTTCTGAAGCAGTCTGTAAACAGAGCATGGAAGTGCGAACAACCCATAAAAGAGTATTGCTACATTTATTTCCTACTACACAAGACATTGTTTTGTGCTTCACGTCTGCACTTTACAGATATAATCTTCTAATACTTTTATGCCCGCTTTTTTAATTTTTAAATTTGGCAAAATACCTCAATGTTACTAAAATTGTATAACGTTTCCTTCCATTATTTCAAACCTCGGGGCGCATGCTGACATTTGTAACAAGCATTAAAACAGACAAATACCGACAAGTTAAATGTTCCGTAATACGATTTTCAGGTATACCAAGTGTAATGTGGATGATTCACCTCATTAATCTCCTTTTTTTGATACACTTTAAAAGGAACTTAAGAAAACGATGTACCATTATTGTGGAAAATATTGAATATTTTTTATTGATTTCAATTAAAGTTATTGTATTTGTATGAGAATTTAACTTCTTTAATGTGACATTTACTAAGATACCAACGGGGACGAAACTGTTATAGAATGTTCTATTCTCAAGTAGAAAAGGCTTTTACGTGTGTATGTCATAAACCATCGTTGTCAGTTGCACAAGACAGAGTGGTGTCTTTAATGGATGATAGTGAAAGACTGATAAATGTGTTATGCCGTGTGAGAGAGACTCTCTAATCGATAATATTCTCTTTCATTTCAGTGGACCCTTTTAAAATCATTGTACTTTATTTTGAGAGAAAAAAACAAGTTTGGGATTTTTCAGCAATGTGACTACTGTTATCTTTCCGGTAACGTTTGACATTTTTATTGGATAGTTTGCTATGAAATTTAATTACCATGACACGATTTGGAGTTCCGTTTTACTGTGTTAATGACTTTCAAAGGGCGCTTTTGGTGCTTTAAGGACATTTATGAGTTATTGATCGCACTTGCCTTTTAGTATGCTTTTGCACCGCGCCAAGTTTTCGTTAGACTTTCTTGTGCTTGGGAATAAAAATGTCTTCTCTGTGTTATTTGGCAGATTGCGAATGAGGACTGTTATTAGAGCACTTCACTTGCCGTGCCACATGCAATTCTATTCGTGCTTTAATACCGAAGCAGCTAAAATAACTGTACACTGTGCTCTGTAGTAATGTACAGTCGTGTGCGTAATTTACCAACATTTTTAACAGCTTTAAAATAGATGCCGGGAGTTATACAATACTACAAAACGCTTTAAAATAAACGGAGAATATTATGAAACATATGAAAACGTAATTACGCGATTATTCAAAATGCACCTCTTTGTTCGTTGCGCGTAAACCTGCTAGGAGAACGTGCTAGTAGATCATTGAAACAATAAGCATCCAGCTTCCGCCTCAACTTGCTGCAGCTGCACGCCACTGCAGACCACTGCACAGCACACGTGAACGCGAGGAGACTAATAGTGTACAGCATTGCAGGTTGCTTGCACGTTCTGTTTGTAGTTGGCCGATATGTTAGCAAATAGGGTAGCAAATACGCCGCCGCAAATGCATAGGTGTTTCCCGTATCAAGTTTGACGATCGAAGCTTGTCTCTCCCGTCGGAGAAAATCCTGTGTGCTTTACTGGCCGCAGTTCCTCCTTCCTCTCTAACACCACCGCCACTCCCCTCCGGCAGTCCTGCGACCCTCCCCTCCCTCTGTCTGCGCTCCCCCACCCCCTCCCCCACCGCGCCGTGCCTTTTGCATTTCGCCGGCGTGCAGTAGAGAACCGCGTTCTTTGCTGGCGAGGGCTGTCATGTTTTTCACACGCCTCACTTGTACTTGTAAATGCGCACCATCTCCAAACCTCAACCAACACATAAATTTCTATCAGCGACTTTATGGCGTACAAAAACAGACTACAGTGTTTTCATAAATCTAGCACAGTGTGCTTCGGAGCTCGCCGATGTTTTTTTGAACACCCTGCTGCTTCCTTGGCAGTTAGTTGAAAAAAAAGAGCGACCAACATCAACAAAAAATGAATTTCGAGCTTACGGATTTGTTGAATTATGTTTCTCTGATCCGTTTTTTTTCGTACGCGCTGTCGACGTATCTTTGTTAGATTTTTTTAAATTATTGCGAATGCGAACGTTGTATCGTGATATATTCTTCGGGAGTTAATATGCGAACGTGAAAACGAGGCGTTGGGCGTGAGTGTCGCTGCACATTCTCGGGCGAATTTAACAGGCCTGTGTTTCCCGCAGGTCAGTGAAAACGCTAATGTTCTTCCAAGGAACTCAGTGTAGTCGAAACTAATGGAGCCGTTACGTCGAAGTGACACTAATTTCCTACGTATATTTTGCGAAGCTCTTTTTTTTTCAAACACGTACATCTTTCACTCAGTCTGGCAATAAAAATACGTTTGGAAATAACATGTTTACAAAATGTTTTCGGAAATAGTTACAGTTTTAAACTTCGTGTTCAATATTTGTAATGTGGGTGATATTAATCTTTTCTATTTTCATGTGTGCTCTGAAAGGTAAAACAATGATTATAATTCTCAAACTGTCCTTCTTTTCTCCCATTTTCTTTACCTTTATTGGATATATATTGGGAAAGAATTTCAAACGTTATTTAATTTTCAGAAAATATATCTTTATTCGCAGGCTAAATTCAAGCACCACTAATTCGTGATCGTGGGCTCTCGTTTATCTTGATAAATGTGACGTCTTCAGAAGTATATCAGAAATCGTGATTTCGTTTATAATAGTTTATAAAATATTATGTGATATCTTCGTGCTCGCGAAACGAAGTCTTAAGCCAAAAACTTCATGATATCGCTGGGATTTAAACGTTTCCAACAATAAATTATCAAGCAAAATAGTCTTAAATCTTAAAATCTACTGTGGAGTTCGGCTTCGCTAGCGGATGTTTCTTCTGCGGGCCGATGTGGCGAGCGGGCAGGGGGAAAACGAAGGGCTCTAGCTCCCCCCCCCCTTGCCTCGCAGCCTCCTTCGCAATCACGGCGGCACCACCGCCTCCGCCGCTGCCTCTGCCCCCGCCCCTGCCGCTGCCGTTGCTCCTGCTTCTGCCTCCTCCGCACTGCCCATTGTGCAACCCCTGCGCGAGTCTTAAAACGACTTCGGCCGGAGCCTTTTCGGTTAGCCGAGCGGGCGAAGGAAGCAGCGGCTGAGCTAGATCAATCTTTCACGGGGCGAAGGCCGCTGTGGCGAGCGGCGGCGACGACGGGGGCGAATGCGACGGAGAGGGCGATGGAGGGGGGAGGCGGGAACGACGACGACGTTGTCGGCGGCGGCAGCGGGCGCCGGATGCCATCGAGCTTCATTTATTTTGTATCGTGACAACTCTTCTAATGCGCCCGAATACTTCAGCCGGACAAAAAGCAGAGCACATCGCGATTGCCCGTGCCCGCCGCTGAGGAGTCCGGCCGGCCATTAGAGGCTGTCAGGGTCTCGCCGGCGGCGGCGAGGACTGCGATGGGTCTTGTAGCGGTGAGTGCCAGCACGCGGTGCAGGGCTGTGTCTGAGGTAATGTTAGAGACGGGGCGTTGTTTCAAGTGCTTTGCGGTAGCAGGGAAACTGGTAGCAATCAGAATGAACTCCGGGCAGATTTTGATTTAAAACGAGGAAACAGGGAGAACGTTTCTGATTAATTTTCTTTTGTTAATATATATTACAAAGTAGTGCAACGAGTGATATGTACTTCTTAGAACGACATTCTTTGCAGGAAGAAATGAAATAGTTCGTGACCATATTGTCGTACATACAATATCGTTAAAAATTTAAAATACATTGATATCCAGAAAATAATTTAAAATAAAATAATGTAGCAGTAGTAGTAGTGTTTCTATCGGCCAGAAGGGGAAACTACCTGTGCTAGAAGCGAAGTCTAGGACAGACGCTGGTATGCAAGGAGGTGGGTTTGGGAACGCGTACAAGGCCAGCGAAGGTGTACGGTGCACGCCAGCGACTCTCTTTGAGAACGTTGATATGACAATAGCCGATAAAGGGGTCAGTGCAAGGAATGGGGGCACGGACAGCGTCAGCTGCGACGGTAAGTCAGCCGGCAGCGATGGCAGCGGAGACGACGACGGTGCGCGGCGCTGGCGGTAGCGATGGCTGCGGCGTCGTTGGCGGCGGCGGAGGCGGGTCGCGGCTCGGACTGGCGCACGCAGTGACACACGAAAGGTAGCGTGAGAGCGGCCGGTCGGGCGGCCGGCGGGGCGAGCGGTCGCGGCCGACCCGACTTGCATGCTGCACCGCGCCGCACGGGAGGCCCGCCGGCCCCTGTCACGGGACACGGCCAGCATTGAAATTTCTGGGTCGCTCACGACGGAACGCGCGCGGCCGTGCTGCTGAGGAACGCTGCCATTGCCGGGGCGTGCACGGGCGTGCGCGTGATAGGGCTCGAGTCGAGGGGAAGCGCTGGCCAACGGAATTGTTACGTCTACGCTCTCTTTAGGACTTCGAACGCAATGCTTGGCTGAGCCGGAACGGAGACTCTCAGCGGGAAGTTTGTAGTATGGGGTTTAAGGGCAGTGGTAGTAATGAACTGTCTGGCGTGCAGG